TTTCCACCATGGTTTGCAAATAAATTCTTTAAAAATCAGACAATGTGATTTTCTGGATCTCCCCCCCCATTTTGTCCCTCCTAGTTGTGGTATACCTATGATGGAAATTACAGGCCTCTCTCATCTTTTTTCGTGGGGGAACCTGCACAATTGGTGGCTGACTAAATACTTTTTTGCCCCACTGTATCTATTCTAGAAGCATATCCCTTCTGAAAACCAATATCAAATCCCACTGACATTACTCCCATTCTCATGAAGCATGTCCTGCCATCTTTGTTTTCCGTGTCCACTGGCATGTGAAGGTGAGTGGCCACACCTGCAAATAGCTTCCGCTCATTTTTGTAAGAAACCTCACATTCATTTCCGCCACACACAGTTGGGAATGGTTTACAGAGTTTTAGAGTGCTAGCCTTCAAAGAAGAGAGGCAAGCATCAGAGCACTCAGCATGTTATTCATAAAGCAAAACTATTTCTTACCCAAAGACTGGAAGAAAACGGAATACCGACATTCATAGAGTGAAAAAAGATATTGCCGCACTTTGGGTAAACTGTGCAACACTTCCAGAATCTCAGCTCCTTTAATAACCTAAAGCAGATCAAAGAAAAGGGGAGTAGAAATCAGAGGAGAGCAATGAAGAAACACAAGTTCTATGACTACTCTATGCAAGTAACAGCTTGACCTACCTTCTCTCTTAGGTCAGGTCTATCTAATGCAATCATGCTGACGTAAACTGTGTATGTTACAAAGGTCTTGTAATCCATAAGTTCGTAAGATGTAAATGTTGACACTGTATCCAGGAAAAGTTCTGCTGCCTGCTTGAAGTCCCGAATGGCCACACAGTAAAGGCCTTGGTAGACCTTGAGCCGATTCCGCCGATCCCAGTCTCCTCCTTCTTCTATAAGACTTTCAAAGAAAACAGAAATACCCTTTAATGTGCAGTCCTCAGCCGCGTGGAACCACTATGTTACACCTGAAATACCGTAAAGTTACTAGCTAAATAAATGGACAAGATACATGTACAATTCTGCTGCACAAAATATGATGCATATATAACCTTTGTGTTTGGGCATACAATTGTTTTGCTTCTACTCAGAGTGAAAGTGCACATTCATTCAATAACAAGCTCCCAATCTAAACCCTTCTGTCTCAGACAGCCAACCTGTGCTTTTAGCAAGGACAACAGAGCAACCAATTTCTGCTTCACTTGCCAACCAAAGGATGACCTGTAAGCTATAATGGCACGCCATGCAAGCATGATCCAATCAGAGTTAAAAGCAGACTTTTTCAAAGCTTTTTCCAGAATAGGAAAAATGGGGCAGGGGGATTATTAATGAAAAAGTATCACTGCCAAAACAATAAAATACTTCATGAATATTTTAAAACAACATAATTACACGTGAGGGTGAAACAACTTGTACATATCTATTAGTGGTTATATTATGTTCAATTAAAAATGAACAAA